AGCTTGCAGGGGAAATCCCGTGAGCGTCTGTTAAGGAAAATAACCCCAGAGCGGCCAGCGAGGGGGGGGAATTTTGGAATACTGGTTCGACAGCAAACACCCCGTCGCCGGGAGGACCCCGCTTTCCCTCCTGCCCCCGTTTCCTAGAGCAGCAGCGCCCCCAAAGCTTCTTTCTTCACTGGGTGAAGCCAAGAAGGCCCCGGGAGGAATTGCCGTGGGCCCTACGAGCCTCTGAGTTCCCTCCCCCTGGCCTCCCCACGTGGATTAACAAAGCTTTGCTTAAGGCCGGGCTTAAGGGAAGCGTCAAGCCCCCGAAGGATATCATGCATGTAGGGGCAGTTCTCGGCCCGGGCGCAGTAGCCGGTGATGTAGAACTTGCAGAGTTCCCGTTTCTTTGGCAGTTCGATGTCGTGACTGAAATTGCAGTGGTCGCCCTGCGCGGAACCGACATGGCAGCGGGGTCAGGAGGGAGCCGGGGTGGGGGGGAAGCACCGACGTGTCCATCCGAGGCCTCGGGACGGACGGACAGACACATCCTCCTCCCCAAAACGTGTTTCCTGGGCACTGACCCCGCCCTGACGCTTCCCACCGAGGTGAATGGGGAGGGATTGGCTCACCCAGGTGCACCTGCCCTCCACGAAGTATTTGCAGATCACTTTGCCTTTCTTATCCGACTGCTGGTGGGGTTTGTCGTGGTCGTTGCGTCGGTAATTCCCACCCCCTCCTCCGTCCTAGAGGGGGCACAAGACGTGAAGTCACCCGAGAATTGGAAACACAAAAGCAACGGGTCACGTGAGAGGAATGAAAACTCTTTGGAGAGGGGATGAGGAATGAAAACTCTTTGGAGAGGAGACGAGGAATTAAAACTCTGTGGAAAGGGGACGAGGAATGAAAACGCTTTGGAGAGGGGACGAGGAATTAAAAACTCTTTGGAGAGGGGACGAGGAATTAAAATTCTTTGGAGAGGGGAAAAAAATAAAACCCAACCCGCTGGGGTTTAGGGGATGAAAAAGGAGGCGACGACGAGGCCAAACGCCCAACCCTGTCAAAGCTGGGCTGACTTTTGTGGGGAAGAGCTGCGTGTCTTGGGTTTTTTTTTTTTAAATTTTTTCAAAGCTTGAGCAGATTTCCAGGTGGGAAAAGGGGTGACGCCCGCCCCCCCCCTCCCCAAAACCAGCTACTCACTCCCATGTCGTCGTCGTAGTAATCGTCATCGTCGTTCATGCCGCCGCCTTTCCCCATCCCGCTTCTGTTGCCACCTCGGCCTTTCAGCCCTGAAATGCGTTTTCCCCGCCTCAGATTTCCCTGCTGCCACCGGGAGAGGGGAGAGGCAGCGGCACGCGGGGCTACTCACCCCTCCCGCGGGTCTCCTTGCTCCTGCGGTACTGGCTCAGCTCCTTGGAGTAGTCGTCGTAGTCGTCGTCGCCGAGGGGCTCCTCGTTGTCGCAGTACTGCAAACGGGGAGGGGCAATGGGCAGGGCGGGGGGGAACGTCACCAGCCCTGCTCCCACACGGGCCACGGGGGATCCCCTCACCCCTCTTACCTCCATCTCCTCATCGTACATCTCCTCCTCTTCCTCGGGGTGGTCGCCCCGGCCTCGCCCGCGGTTGCCCCGGCCCATGCCTCGGCCTCCTCGCATGCCCCCTCTGCCTCCTCCTCGCCCGCGGTACCCCCGGCCTCGCCCGCGGCCACCTGAGGGGATGGAGGGAGGGGGTCGGCTCCGTGCTGCCTTCCACCCCCCTCCCCGGGGCTGTAAAAAAATCCTCAAGGCGCTGCCAGCGGGGTTGGGAAGCCAAATCTGAACGTTTTTACGTAAAACCCAACGGCGTGGGACCACGGCAGCTCTGCCCGGGGGTGTCGGCACCCCTCTTAGGTGAGCAACGGGCTTCCCTTCCCCAGACAGTTTTATTTCATCTGGTTTCGACCATTTTGGTGCTTTCCACACCATCTACGCCGGCAAGAAAAATGTTTAGTTTTGCTTTATCTACTTTCAACCATTTTCACGCTTTCCACATGACCTATGCCGGCGAGAAAAATCCTCAGTTTGAGTTTCAATCTTTTCAACCATTTTGGCGCTTTCCACGCGATCTACGCCGGTGAGCAGAACGTTTAGTTTTATTTTATCTATTTTCAATCATTTTTCTGCTTTCCGCATGATCTACACTGGTGAGGAAAATGTTTGGTTTCGTTTTATGTCCTTTCAACCATTTTTGTGCTTTCTATGCGATCTACACTGGCAAGAAAAACGTTTTTATTTTATCTATTTTCAACCATTTTGGTGCTTTCCACATGACCTACGCCAGTTAGAAAAATCCTTACTTTTATTTTATCTACTTTCAACCATTTTGGTGCTTTCTATGCGATCCAAGCCAGCGAGAAAAATCCCTAGTTTTATTTTATCTGTTTTCAACCGTTTTGGTGCTTTCCACACGACCTACGTCGGTGAGGAAAACCTTCTCGAGGACATTACATTCCCCACAGGGATCTGAACCGGCCCCTCGGGGTGGAAAACAGCTCAAAGCACCTTCCCCATCCCAAAGGACCCCCGAGGAGCCTCTCAGCACCTCTCGGGCCTTAACTGGCCACAGGACGAGCTACAGGAGCCGCAGGGAGTGAGCCTCAAGGGCTACGGGGGGGGGAAATAAAAGAATAACGGAGCGTTTGGAGGTACCTCGGCCCCGGTGCGAGCCCTCCTTCGCCCTCCGGTATTGGTTCAGCTCTTTCGCAAAGTCGTCGTAGTCTTCCTTCCCGAGATCTTCATCCTCCTCCCCCTCGTACTGGCCGTACTCCTCGTTCTCGTAGTCCTCGTACATGCCGTAATTTTTGCTCTCCATCTTCGAGTAGCCCTTCTTCTGGAGGGGAGCGCTGTGGGAGGACGGATACTGCTGGTGGGACTTTGGGAAAGGCACAGAGGTTAGTGACGGAGGAAGGGAGCGTGTCCACGCTCATCATTTTTTTCAGTAAATCATTTAAATAACGCGACCGAGCACCGGCCCCAGGGGTGAAAGCCCCAGGCGGCTGCGGGACGGGCAGCACTTACGGAGGAGTAGGGGGGGCTGTACTCCCGGTATTTTCTGTGCCCCTTTTCCCCGGGGCTGAAGTCTGAGTCCTCGCTGTAATCGGAGAAGTCATCGCTGGAGGACGCGTGGCGCTGCAAGGAGAACGCGGGGCCGTGGGACCACGGGCCAGCTCTCACCCCCAACTCTCCCTTTAGCCTTTTTTTGTTTTTTTTCTTTTTTCCCTGGCAACTCAGATTTTGCTCCAAACTGTCAGTATTCCCTCAGCTACAGCCCGGCAGCGGGTTATTAAACTGCTCTCCAAGGAGGACAAACACTCCAGAAATCCCCAGAACTTTGGTCACAAACCCAGCCCAGGAGGTGAGGGCGCTCACGGAGGAATTCCCTGAAGAAAAAACTGGGTGGGTTTTTTCCCCACTCTGCAGCCTCAGACGGCCAAGGGAGAGCCGCAGCGTTTCCATCCCATGCTCACAGGGCTCCCGGGGGGGATGTTCAGGAGCTGAGCCCCACGGAACCCTGCGAGTGCTCCCACCCCACCCTTATCCTCAGGGAAAGAGCCTCTAAATTACCCCTAATACCGCCAGGGTATCTAATTACCCCTAATACCGCCAGGGTATCTAATTACCCCGAATACCGCCAGGGTATCTAATTACCCCTAATATCGCCAGGGGAGGGATTCCCTGAGGAAATCCCTGAGCAGACCCGAGCTGGGACGCTGGGGGTCCACGAAAGCAGCGCGCGGCTCACCTTGTGTTTGGATTTCCTTTTCTTCTTGGACCTCCTCTTCTCCTTCTCCCTCTCTTTCCGGCGCTTGCGCTTCATCCGCCGATGAGCTTTCTCATCCTCCGAGTCGCTGTGGTGCTTCTCCCCTTTCTCCTTCCGACCTCTTTCTTGAGATTCGGAGGGATCCTGCGTCTCCTCCCCTCCGTCATCCTCCAGTTCCCCTTCTTCCAGTTCTCCATCCTCCCTGTAAAGCGGACAGAAAAAAAAAAAAAAAAAAAAAAAATTAAAAATAAAACCCGCTTGTACTCCGTTCACCAGCCAGGCACTCGGCTCCCAACGTGCTCACAAATTCCTGGTTAAAAATCCGACCACAAACACGGATTCTGTCCATCTTCTCCAACCCAACCCTGCTCAGGCCCGAGCTCAACGCGGCGAAGAAGCACCCGGCAACCGACGGACCGAAGCCACGACGATACGGCGCTCAACTTTCGGAGCAAATTATTGCAAATAAACTCCAGGAATGGAAATGGGGGCTTTAATAAAAGGGTCGGGATGCTCCGAGGATGGAAAGTGGGCTTTGAGAAAAGATTTGGGCCACTCCGAGGAGAGAAATTGGGGTTTGAGAAAAGATTTGGGCCACTCCGAGGAGAGAAACTGGGGCTTTGAGAACAGATTTGGGCCACTCCAAGGAAAATGGGGCTTTGAGAACAGATTTGGGCTACTCCAAGGAGAGAAATTGGTGTTTTAATAAAACACACAACCCTCTAGAGGACAAGAGTCAGTAACTATGACCCTGGTTTGCCAAATCCGCGGACACACGCCCCGTTATTTCCACTTTCTCGTGCCACCCTTCACTCCGAGCTGCGGTTAGTGGAGGTGATAAAGCAAACCCAAAACTTCCTCAGAAGATTCCCCAAGCCCCGCTCCATTAAACTCAATTAAAACCGACTCAGGACGGGGTTACGTGAAACTTTTTACAACCTCGTAGGGGATGAACACGGCACAAGGTCAGTCAGCTCCCCTGCGCTTCCCTTCATCTCCCAACAGGGCGCTGGGTGGTTTAACACAAGAGTGGGGTCTCCCCCTCCCTCTGCACTTAAGCTCTAATTAAAAACAGAAGCGCCGGCTCGTTTAGAAACCTCGCGGTGACAAACAGCAGTTTGGGGAGGGGGATCTGCGGCCCCAGTCCCTCTGGCTGGAGGTGCCCCCGCCCGGCCCCGGCGCAGAGCTCCCCTCCGGTGCTCACGCTCACACCATTTTCCTATCAGCCCAGCTCCAAAATCCAGCTCCTCGAGGTCCCTCCTGGAGCCCCCCAGCCCGAGGCGGGGTCCCCGGGTGCCTGCTCAAGGTGAGGCTGGGTGGGGATGAAGGAACACCCCAGCCACAGCTCGGCGAGGCCGGTTGCGGAGCAGAAGCTCAAGGCTGCGCGCAGAACCCGGCAGGAGAACGGAGACACGGCGGAATGAAACGCCCCTGTATTCAAATACTCAAATCCTTCAATCCTGACCCAGCCTCGATCCCTTCCCTAGCAGCGCAGCTTCACCAATAAAAGGATTTCAGGCTGGAAACGCCACCAGGATTTCCAGTGAGTTCCTCACAGGGGACTCTGAGCCCAGCGAAGCCACACGCCGGCACGGGGCGAGCTCGGAGGAAACGCTCTGCTGCTGCCAAACCCACCGCGGGCCGATAAACCACCCTCACAAAAACCTGCTCTTCCCTCGGGGGTCAATCGCCTGCTCCCAGGCCGGTCCTGGCCCTCCAAGGGGACCAAACCCCTCGCTAACACCTTGATTGCCATTTTCAGGCAGGATTAATTCCCCTTCCACCCTGCCTTGAGTTGCTCTGGTCTGAGGTTTAGAGGAGACAAACCCCTCCCTGGGGCCACGGCCGCACCAACAAGCCCCTTCTTAAACTCACTACAAAAGGAGGAGCAAAAAGGCTCCCGAGGACAAAGCGTAACGATCCTGGGGCTGCTGCAAAGGTTATTTGAAAAGCACCAAGGGACGGGACGGGGCCGAACCGCTGAGCCGTTCACCAGGTGAATATTAATGATTTTACCAACACGCACGCCTCCGAAAGAAGGGCAGGTCTGAGAGATCCCCTTTGTGGGGACGCTCAGACCCCAAACTGCACCTTCCGGCGGGAAATATCATCCCCCAGCTGCTTTTTAACTCCAGTTCTGGCAGATTTGAGTGAGTTTGGGGATGAAAATGATACAGAGAGACCGTGGGGCTCCCTCCACGCTCTGTGAACTTGGGAGGCGGGTGTCAGCGAAGCACCTCAATGGTTTGAAACCCGACGGGATGGAGCCGTCCGATGCAGAGCGAGCAGCAACGTCTGAAAGCAACCGAACGCTTCCTAGGGCCGGAGGGAAATAAAATTAAAAAGAGATTAAAGCCACGCTGTGCGTTGTCGGGGGACGGCTCACCGTGGAGAGTCGCTGCGGGTACGCGGTGAAGAAGCCATGGCTGTTAAGCAACTATTGGTACTGCAGAAAACACTGACTGGGGGAAAATCCTTCCCCAAATCCACGCTCATCTCGGGTTTTTCCTATCGCTCCTGCCCGCCCGCTCTAGAGGGGCCGGTCCCCGGCGCAGCACACATCCTGACGACGGGCCCGGGCCGGGCGCCGCGCGCCCTCTGTGACCTCAGCGCCACGGCAGGGAGGGAGGACGGCGGTGACGGCGCCTGGAAAAGAACACAGAAGCCTTTTCCAATCGTTATCCTGCGGGGCCCACGGCGCGGCACCTCTGCGGCGGGGAAGACGAGGAGCGGGGAGGCTTTGGGGAGAAAATTCAGGGGTGGTGGCAGGGCCTGGGGGGGGTGAGTTTGCTGTTCTGGCCGCTGGAAGAGCAGCACAAGAATTCAAACATCACCAAATAAGATGAATTCAAACATCTCCGACTAACACGAATTCAAACGTTATCTCCAGAGAGCACAAATTCTAATATTATCTCCAAACAAACAACGCCACGTCGGCCAGGCGAGGGTTTGGTTCGTTTTGGGAACGGGCGAAGGGGAGTGACGGGCGAGTGGCCTGGACGGGGGGTGTGATGTCAGTGACAGCCAATACACCCCCCGAAACCCACGGAAAAGGTTAGTGACACCCCC